CCGAAAAATCTTCCAATGGTCCCCCATTGCGAGAATTGTCGATTTTGTAAGATTGCTATAAAATAAAAACTAGCAGTCGGAGGGGTCTAAAAATCAGTGGCGATTTATTAAAGTCATAATATAAGTACTTTTGAATATAAGTCGAATTAGAGCAAAATCGATTTTTAGCCGAAAAATCTTCCAATGGTCCACCATTGCGAGAATGTCGATTTTGTAAGATTGCTATAAAATAAAAACTAGCAGTCGGAGGGTCTAAAAATTCAGTAGCGATTTATTAAAGTCGCAATAAATGTACTTTTTGAATATTAGTCGAATCAGATCGTATCATGATTATTTCTCCATTTATAGTTATTTTGTTATCTAATCAATAGTTTCTGTGTATAGAGTGTTTTTTTAAACATTACATTCACCTATTTATGATGATGATGAAAACACTAAAACTTCCATAAAAGATAATAAAACTTTGCATACCTTTTGTACAGTTTCAGAGCGAGAATTTTGTCCTTCGCTGTGAAGTTTTTTCTTTCTTTGCAAATGGTATTTAGAATTAAAATTACTGGCCTTTTCGCTGGATTTGCACATTGTTGTGGTTTTGTATTAAATTGATTTGTTTACCCTCTATCAGAATTATCGCCTGATCCTACATCAGGATGTTTTCTAGTCTTGACAGTGTGAGAGGAGAACTCTTTCATAATTTCCATATAAAGAGATTTGTCTAATCCACCCACTTCTATAAAGCTGAAAGAAGCATATTATTATATAAATATCAATTGACAAAAAACTTGGGAATCAATTTTGTAATTATTTTTGAAGAGAAAATATAAAATTCTTTGAATATGTTTATTTTTATATGAAAAGAATGCAGCGATCTTATATATGAAATAATAAACAAATATTTGTGTACAATATTTTTCACAAAATAATAATATCTCACATTTTTATTATTAGCTTTTCGAGAACTTAATTATCACATCAGGTAGATTGATTAGCATACTATTACTTTTGCACAATTATAAAATCATAATTATGTAAAAGTTATAATATTATATAATACTAAATATTTTTAGTTTGTTGTATACCATTGAAAGAGCTCATTTAAAGACAAAACATTATCGTATACAGAACATAGAATACAAAATAGCATTATTTTGAGACTTTATATGTCTAGGAAGTCCGAAAACTGGCTGTGAGACAAGAAAAAAAAAGACCGCTTTCGATCTAAATCTTTGTATTAGTAAAAATCTCAAGCAAATATCTGCAAATGTTAACAGATTTTGTATGAGTTTAGGGAAGTCGGATATAACAAATCCTGTGAGGACAACTCCACTCGAATTCACTCGAGGGAAGGGTTGTATCGGAGTGAGTGATAACTCAGAATGAGTTACCATCTTACTACAAAATGTACACATCCATTTTTTGTAAGAACTCCACAATCTTCAGAAAAGTAAAGATATGCAGTAATTTTAACTTCCTGAAGGAGAAGTTTATGCTTTCATCAAGAAATCCGATTGCTAATTTTATGTTTCTCGACGTTTCAAGCCATTCTGAATCGAATGAGACCAATTTGAAAAAGTATGTGTGTGTGTGTGTGTGTGTGAACACATTTTTTGCCGTAAATCGACGTTTTCTCTAAAACGGTTGGGCCGATTTCAAAATTTGAAAGCCATTCGATGTATCTCGACGAGGGCTATCGTTTGTCAGTTTTGTAGGATGATCGTCTGAGACGTTTCTTTATAAATAGCAGAAAAGTGAAAAAAAATCCGTCTACGTTTTAGCCCGCAATTCTGAACCGATTATGAAATTCAAAAACCGTTCGAAAGATATTGATTGGGAATCGTGCTGATTAGTTTCTGGTAAAGATCGGCCGGGTCGTTTTCTTGTAATGAAGTGTTAAAAAAAACTTTTTTCCACGATTTTCATTATTATTTTTTTGACGGTAGATACTATAGTCTGCTAGATCATACTAAAATATTACGGCCCTACGACAATTGGTTTAACTTTGAAAATTCGTCAAAGTTTGCAAAAATTGGTATCGTTTTTTTGGCATTTGTCAGAATTAGACTTTTCATCCACGTTTTGTGCGACGATCTGCCAAGCCGTTTCTTTGTAATTTGAAAAAAAGTGTTAAACTTTTCGTCCACATTTAAGCTCATCCTACCAAACCGATTTTGAAAAATCCAAAACTGTTCGAAAGATATTAGTTGGGAATAATACTGATTAGTTTTAGGTGAAAATCTACCGAGCCGTTTTCTTGTAATTAACTGTTGAAAAAAAATTTAAGCCGATTCTTATGGATTTTTTTTAGCGATATGTATCATGGTCTTATAGAACTTACTGTTACTGCTTTACGACAAATAGTTTAATTTTAAAAATTCAAAGTTTGAGAAAATGAGTAGTTTTGTTGACGTTATACTTATAAAGTCATTAAAGTCCTATGAAAGCTGGTTCAATTATAACAATTGTTGATTTCTGAAAATTTACTTTTAGAAAATACTCCGTGTTAAAGTGTTCGCTCGTTTTCAATTATGTATAAAAATCCACTGGGAATTCTTTTAATGACTCATAAGTTCATTTATTTTTTATTGATTAAGTCGATTATTTACATATATCGGGAAGTTCATGCAACTTGCCTCAAGGCTAAATATCAAACCAACTAGTTATTTTGAACGATTGCAATAACTTGCCCTACGGTAAGATACACAATTAATAAATTACAGTATATACTTTATTGACGATTCAACTATTTTTTACAAAACTTTGATTAAAAACATGATTTTCCATCTATCCCACGTGGTA